TCTGCGCGTCCAGGGGTGTCCCAGGCCCCCCGGGCGGCGCCCACTGCACTTACTGTGGCCCCTGTCCATCCTTCCATGCACTTGCTCTCCGTCCGTCTTTCCTCCGCTGTTCGTCCGTCTTTCCTTCGCTGTCCGTCGGTCTCTCCCCCGCTGTCCGTCCGTCTTTCCTCCGCTGCCCGTTGGTCTCTACTCCACGTCCGTGCGCAACACAAAAGTCGTGTGTCGTGTGATCGCGAGAGCAGCTTGATGGACCCCTCATTGGGATCAATCGACAAGACGGCGCTCTCGTCTTGTCCCGCCCCACCCCGCTCCCGGAGCCTCACACCGACCTCACCTTTCACTAGGCCACGGTCGCCAGCCACGCCCCACCACGCTCCGCCCCGCCCCGCCACCCGCTATACACACCTTACCGGCAACAAAGACGCCCGATCGCCTGATCGTGAGCGTGCCCCCGTCCGGTGTAAAAGTCGGAGCCACCCCGCCCCGCAGGGTCTGTTCGCACTGGGACTGGGAACGCAGTCGAACAGACAGTTAAGAGAGTTAAGGTGTGAATTTTCCTTTAAAAATCACTCACTTCAGCCTCCATGTGTGCGAATAATGTCGTCCACACACCTTCAAGTGTGCGACATTCCGGTGCAGCGTCCAACGCCACCGGGGTAATGCCTTTGGCTGGGGTTTGTGTGGTTAAGAGCGGGCAGCGCGGGAGGGGGAACAACCCCGCAAAAGAAAAATGGACAGCAACAAAAATAAAGAAACGGGACGAGAACAAAAAAAACTGCCATTTTTTTCGCGGTGGCACCTGACCCGAACGAGACTTTAAGAACCAAGAACAAAACATTGTCGAGTTGGTCCCGCGGTCACCGGCTCCGGCAGGTCGGCAGCGGGATGCCGAGGCGGTTTTTGAATTGGCGCTTGACGTTTCCGGCAGGCCAAATGGCCAAAAATGTTTTCGTCGGCGCGATCCACTCGCGATTGGTTTTCGTACCCGGGAACAACACCACAACAACAGTCCGAACTATGTTAGTGTGCAGCCGGCGCCGCCTCAATAGAGAAGGAATTAAAAGCCTTTATGTAACCCAGGGGTTCGGCCCGGACCGGCTCTGGCCGGCTCCGGTCGGGCGTCAGAGTCAGTGTCAAGGGCACGCATCTGATGTTCGAAGACACACTCACACTCACAACAATAAACTTGGCTTTCCACCAGGAATTATTTTGTGAAATCCCGTGCACTCCGTTCTATACTCATTTAGAGTCTGTGACGAGACCGTGCCATATGTAGTCACACGCACGAACTTGACAAAAGGTGGGTGGCGTGCTGTACTTTGACCACCGAGTCTGTGACGAGGCCGTCCCCGTCACAAGGCGAGTGCTCTGTGCTGAGTGTGTGACGGGGCCGTCACACGCACGGACTTATTGGGCGCGTGCTGT